TTAATTTATGATTAATGAAGTTAATTAATCTTAATTAAAATAAATTAATTATATTTATTGAATTTAGTTTGAGATAATTAAATTTATTTGATTATCTCAATTAAGGATTAATAAATATGATTAATTAATTTTAATTAATTTTAATTAACATTAAGTTAATTATCTCGATGGTTTAATTTCAATCCTCAATTTTCTTCAATTAGTCAAAAGTCAAAATTATCTTTCTTCATTTCAATTTCACCCAAAACTTTTGTAATTAAGCAATTTGGTCCATGGTTCTCAACTCTTTTCAAATCAGTCCTCCATGTTTTAAATTTAATCAACTCAGTCCTCCATCTTTCGAATTCAATCAAGTTAGTCCCTCAACTTTTTATTAGTGCTTATTGTGCATGCATGTCTTTGATTTAGTCCAAAAAAATTAAAAATGTTTCAATTTGGTTTATCCTCTTTTTTTTTGTTTAAGTTTGTTTAGTAAGACCTAAACATAGATGTAAAGAATAGGTTGAATTAAAACCCCAATGTCCTTATAATTTGAACGAGTGGTGACTCCCTTTTCTTTTATATTTTTCACATTTAATAATAAACATAATTTTTCATTATTTTGAAATTTGAAGTGGTCGTCAACAGATTGGCGACTCCACTGGGGATTGAATCCAGAATCCTTGGTTTTCATATTTTGGGTTCACGAGGGTCGAGCCAATACTTTAACTTTGGGGAATTTTTTAGCTTTTGATTTTCTTTGTTTGTTGAGTCTTTATTAGTCTTTGTCGTTTGTTGCATGTACTTGTTGTGTGTTATGTGGTGCTTGTTGCTTGTTTGCTTATTGTTTTGGTGGTTGCTTTTATTGTTCTTGCCTTTGAGTGATTATCTTGTCATATCATGACATGCATCATACCTTGCTCACTTGTTCATGCATCATATCATCTCACAAGCTCATCTATCATTGATGTTATATGCTTATTCATCATGCATCATGCTTACATGCCTGTTTGCTTGTGTGTGGATATACTCACCTTTTACACTTGGCTTTGGAGTACTCAGTGAGTCTCTTCCCTCTTGTGCGATTATTTATATCTTGTTGCATGCTAAGTGTTGGTTGCTTTGTGTTACTAACCTTTTGCATTTGGCATGGGAGTACTAGGTGAGTCTTTTCCTGCTGTGTAACTAGGCGTGTTTGTGGATGCTACATCTGTTGAGTGTTTATATGCTTTATTTGATTGCTGTGGGACATATGTTGTTATTTTTATGGTTGTCATTGTGCAAGTTATCGGAGTGTCATGCCCCTTGCACACACACTCATTCTCATTTTGCATTAGGTCTATGTTGGAGGTGAACCTGACCTCTAGTCTAGAATCCTTATGAATCTAGCTTGGAAGAGTAATTCTTCCCGCTTTGAGGAGTAAGATCGATTCTCGTTAAGTTGTTTCCATTGGTTAATACGACACCTGATGATGTAATATCGTCCTATGTATTAGCTTTTGGAAATATCTCCCATTGATTCTAAAAAGATAAATGGTTGAGAAGGCCTAATGCCTTTTAGGAAAGCATGCAATGAACTTAAAGAGAAGCCACCCATAGGACTTGTCAGCTTAGAAAGCCACCGGTGAGGTTAGGATTCCCGTGTCTAGGTATACAACGGGGCATTTTACATCTTACCTTACTTTCCACACTTGCAGGTGTTTATTAAGTCAACTGTGTCAAGTTTCATGACATTCATAACATTCATTCATTCCATGCACTTTGCTTTTCACTTTCTACTCAATACTACATGAAACCATTCACTTTGGCACTTTCACTTTCTATTCCATACATCATAAAAAAATTTGCATATTTGTTTCACATGTCATATGTCTATTGTATTGCATTTTCCATCTCATGCATCACAAAATATGTTTTCATGTTCATTTCTCATGTTCATTTCACATGACATTCTCCATTCTATTCATTTTACATTTCATTTTTCATCTCATATTTCACAAAAATTTCCAAAAAAAGAGTAAAAGAAAAAGGAAAAAAAAAAAAGGAAAAAGAAAAATGAAGTTCCACCATGTTCATTACCTTACATCTTCCATCTCATATATATATATATATGTATAATTGCAAAAAAAAAAAAAATTAATTCATGTTCCTTTCACATTGCGTTTTCCATTTCATATTTCATTTCAAGCATCACTATTTCCATTCTATATTTCTCATATGTCCCACATTAAAAAAAAAAAAATTGCATAAAAATGAGAATCTCATCCATGTTTAGTTCACATTACATTTCCCATCCCATTTTTCATTATAGTCCACATTCAACCATACATCACATCTTCCATCTCACATCAAATTGACATTCATCTCATGCTCATCTTCTTTTATGAAAAAAGTTAAATTTGGTCCTCATATTTTCTTGTTTTTCAATTAAGTCCTTCAAGTTACCATTTTCTACAAAAAAATTTGTCCAAACTCTCTTTCAAAGAAAGTCTCACCCTCTTACACTTTCTACACAAAATTCACATTTGCATGTTTCAAACTTTTTGGCCTTATCCAACTAAATTCAAAGCACTTTACATTTTGTAAAAAAAAAAACAAAAAACCGAAAAAAAAAAACAAAAAAACAAAATTTTTTTCACCAAAAAAATGCCTAAATTGAACCTCATTAAAATATGTAGACCAAATTTACATTGTGCTACAATTCTTTCATCATGCTTGCATGTTCATTAGTTCACACAAAAGAAAAACACATAGATCCGAATTTTGTTTCTTCGAGCATAAAATATTTTATCAAATTCAATTCTCTCATTACTTTAATTTGTTATTTTCAGGTTGTCTTCAAAATTGCTCCCAAGAAGAAGATTGCATTGCCTACTTGCAGTCCCATAATTACTCGATCGATATCACGAGCAATGGCTACTCATCCGGATACTTCTGGAGATGAACAAGGGGAAAAGTTTGGAAGCTTTAGTCATGCAACTTTTATCTAATCAGCAAGGGAATCTTACTATGGCTCAATTTGGACCTTCTATTGGAAATACGTCCACAATTGCCCATGCTCCTGGAAAAGAACCTGTGGTTATCAATGTTCCTATGGCTGATACTCATGCATTTGATGATACCAATGTCCCAACCAACTCTGGGATTCCCGTCAATGTTGGCGCCACTTTGGAAAATCCTCCACCTGCAATACCTTGGAGCTTCAATCAAGGGACAGTGGGTTAAACTCAACTAAAAGAGGAATCTGGTGACAATGAAGAGCTCCCTCCGAAGATGAAACTTAAGATGCAATTGCTAGAAGAGCGTTTAAAAGCTGTTGAGCAAGTTGATAGTTTCGATTCAATGGATTTTGACTCTTTTTTCTTGTTTCCTGATATTGTAATCCCACCAAAGTTTAAAATCCCTAAATTTGACAACTATGATGGAACTGGATGTCCAAAAGTTCATTTGAGTAAATATTGTAACAAAATGGCTGCTTATGGAAAGAATGAACAATTGTTGATCCATTTCTTCCAAGAAAGTCTCACCGGACCTACTGAGCTTTGGTATTCCACTCTTGATCGTAAACACTTGAAATCTTGGTCAAAACTTTCTTTTGCATTCTGGAAACATTATAAGTTCAATTTTGCTTTATCCACCACTTGTGAAGACCTCCAAAGGATGAAGAAGAAAGCCCCTGAGACTTTTAAAGAATATGCTCAACGTTGGCGCATTAAGGCTGCTCAAGTGCAACCTCCAATGACTGAATTTGAGCTTAGCATTCTATTTGTCAAATCAATGAGAGGACCGTATCTTGATAAAATGCTTACTCATTCCTTTGATGATTTTGCAAAGTTGATTCACATTGGAGAAAATATTGAAGATGCTATAAAGTCAGGGAAGATCCCATATGCTAACTTATGGCAAGCTCTGATGGAAAATAACCAAGGGAATGGTCGTAAGTTTAACTAGTTCAACCAGTTCAAGAAAGACAAAAAGGAGGGTGAGATCTAAGCAATCATGCATACATCTAACCAACCATATACCTCAAATCCTTACCCACACACTCCTAAAGGATACTCCCATACTTCTTATTCAATCCGACCATCAACTTACCAACCTTATCCACCTGCACCTTATCAGCAATACTCTCCACAACCTCATTTATACCAAGCCTATCCACTAAGTCCCATATATGCCACCTACCCAGCTAATCCTCCCAAGCCATATCCAAAATAGGCCAAATACTTTCGATAAGAGATTCCGAAAGATTGATCCTATTCCTCTCTCTTACTTGGATGTCTACAACCAATTGACAATTGCAAGGATTGTGACACCAATACCTCCTCCTAAAGTCCAAGATCCCTTCCCAAAAGGATTCAACCCAGAAGTTCAATGCATCTATCACAGTGGTGGTGTTGGCCATGATATTGAAAATTGTTGGAGTTTTAAGCACCTTATTTAGAATTTGCTAGAAGAGAAGCAGATTACATTTGAGTCCGCCTCTAATGAGGCCAGTCCTAGCATTACCAACAACCCACTCCCAGAGCATGCCAACCCTGGTGAAGCTGAAACAACATTTGGTATAGTTATTTTGATGGGTTCATATGGCAAGAATTGAGTTCAAACCTCAAGGATTCTTGAAGTAATGATCTATGTCAGTTATCTCTACTTTTCAGTTATTAGTAGTATAAGTAACTTCAATCCACCAGTGATTCTACCCAAGATCATGGTTAAAGTAAAATAATGGGCACATCCTCGTTAAAGTTTCATATGTTATGACTTGCTTGATATGTTAGTACTCTCATCTCAGAAGTTAATATATTACTTTCTTATCTTTCATGTTTTTAGAATTCCATTACACAATTTCCTCACACATCTCCTTATTCAAATAATTCTTTGCTTTTTGATGGATTAAATCTTTTCTTTCTAAGGATATGTTGATGATATCTAAATTCAAGGTCTAAGATCCGAGGGCAATGATGCAAAAACAAAAAAAGGAGAGAAAAAAAAAAGTGAGAAAAGCCACAAAGGAGTTCAAAGGT